TCCAGGTGGTTGAGTATCAGAGTGTTTCTTCTCATTTCCCTTTGAGGTTGCAGTAGGTGATCTGAAAGTCTGGTTTTGAGACTTGTTTACATATCTTCTCATTTTGATGGGGTGGGGGTGCTGTTGGTGCCCTCCTCTGTGCTGGGAGTGGTGGAACAGTGGCACGGAAGCCCCTTCCTCTGGGCTGGGAGCAGTGGTGTGGTGGCCTGGAAGCCCCTTCCTCTGCACTGGGCACCTTAGGAACTTCATGAATACCAAATCAGCATGCCAAAAAATTTTAGATAATATCCTAGTAACAGACAATGAGGATCACAACCCCAGGAAGCACAGCAGAATGAATCCATCGGGCATGATAAGAAATTAAATGTAAAGGAGGAGAATCCAACAAAAAGAAAAAGTCATGACAATGGTAAGTCAATATGTATCAGTTATAATCATCAATGTTAATGGTCTCAATTCAACAATCAAAAGAAATAAACTGGCAGAATGGGTCAAGATTGAATTGCTTTTCCTTATTCTTTCTCCATAAGTAAACAACAAATCTTGACATCAGATATAAAATAAACAGGATTGAAAGGTGGAGAGACCAGTAGCCTTGGGAGAAAATCCATCAATATGCTATATACAAGAAACAAACTTAATTAAAAAAGAAACTCACAGATTGAAAGTTAAAGGGTGGAAAACAATACTCCATGTGACAGGAACCTGTAAAAAAGCAGGAGTAGCTATCCTCTTTGCAGATGAAGAGGATTTCAAACCAACACTGATTAAAAGAGACAAAGAAGGATGCTACATCCTTGTAAAGGGAACAATCCAAGAGGAAGAGATGGATGACAATCATAAATATCTATGCACCAAACACTAGTGCACCCAACTATATAAAAAAAACCAACATGAAAAGTCATAGAAGCACTAATACAATAGTAGTGGGGGACCTCAATAGCTCACTGTCACAAATAGATACATCAACTAGACAAAAAATAAGTAATGAAATAGTAGAACTCAATCGAACTCTTGAACAAATGAACTTAACAGATGTTTACAGAGGGTTCCACCCCACAAAATCAGAATACACATTCTTCTCAGCTGCACACAAGTCATTCTCCAAAATAGGCCACATACTTGCTCACAGAACATGTATAAGTAAGTGCAAAGGAATCAAAGTTATCCTCTGTATATTATCAGACCATAGTATGATGAAATTGAAGATCCATAGCAAAAAACCCGCAAAAATTTCATAAACACATGGAAATTGAACAACACAATTCTGAACAAGCAATGAGTTCCAGAGGAAATTAAAGAAGAAATCAGACAGTTCCTTCAGTTAAACGACAATGACAGTACAACATATCAGACTCTATGGGACACAATGAAAGCAGTCTTACGAGGGAAATTCATAGCAGTAAATAAGCATATTAGGAAAACAGAGTGAGCCCAATTACACAACCTGATGCCGAGCCTCAAGCTTCTAGAACAAGAAGAGAAGGACAAAACCAAAGCTCATATAAGGGAGGAAATTATAAAGATCAGAGCAAAAATCAAATCAATAGAGACTAAGAGAATGATACAAAAAAAATCAATGAAGCCAAGAGTTGGTTCTTCAAAAGAATAAACAAAATTGAGAAAACCTTAGCCAACCTTATCAGAAAAAGGAAAGAAAAGGCCCAAATCCATGCAATTAGGAATGAAAAGGGTAAAATTACAACAGACCCAGCAGAAATCCAGAGGATCATAAATACCTACTTCAAAAATCTATATGCTAATAAGATGGAAAACACAGAAGAAATGGACAGATTCCTAGATATGTATGAATTACTAAAGTTGAACGAGGAAGACCTAAAAATTCTAAACAACCCAATATCAATGAAATTGAAAAAGTAATTAAAAACTTACCAACTAAGAAAAACCCAGGTCCTGAAGGCTTCTCTACTGAATTCTAGAGAGGAACTACTGCCACTACTGTTTAAACTCTTCAATGAAATTGAAAGGGAAGTAATACTCCCGAATTTATTCCTGGAAGCAAGATCACCTTGATCCCCAAACCAGGAAAAGACCTAACTGAAAAAGAGAACTATAGGCCGATCTCACTAATGAGCATAGATGCAAAAATCCTTAGTAAGATACTGACAAATAGAATGCAGAAGATCATCAAGAAGATCATACACCCTGATCAAGTGGAATTTATCCCAGGGATGCAGGGATGGTTCAACATATGCAAATCGATCAATATAATAGACTATATCAATAGATCCAAGGACAAAAACCATGATTATCTCCATAGATGGAGAAAAACCATTTGACAAAATCCAACACGCATTTATGATAAAAACCCTAAAAAATTGGAATAGCAGGTCTCTACCTCAATCTGGTAAAAGCCATCTATGAAAAACCAACAGCCAAAATCATACTAAATGGTCAAAAACTGAAATCCTTGGGCCAGGGATTTAACACAGTGGTTTCGCCACCTGCTGCTCAAGTGCAAGGACCCAAGTTCGATCCTCAGTACCAAAAAAAACCCAAAAAACTGAAATTCTTCACACTAAAATCAGGAACAAGACAAGGATGTCAACTATCACCACTACTGTTCAATATAGTTTTGGAAATATTAACCATGACAATTGGACAAGAGAAAGAAATAAAAGGAATAAAGATAGGAAATGAAGAAGTCAAATTGTCATTATTTGCAGATG